ATTTCTTGAAATTTTTATGGATGAAAGTTTGAATTCGTGGATGAATGATGTTGGTGTATAATTAATCTTCAAAGTTCACCGAAATTTGGAGAAAAATGGGATGATGTCGATGAAAATTTTGAAAAAATCGTGAGAGAAGCCGGGTCTTTGTGTCCGTGTGTGCATGTAATTGAATGTGGTGGGTTTTGGGAAGTATAAATTACTGTGATTAGAAGTTTAAATTTATGTTAAGTGCATTAATCTAATTTGTTTCTTTTTTAGAGTAGTGAGCTTAATTTTCCCTAAAAAAGGAGTACTAGGCCCAATATTCCCTTATATAATTAAGGATTGGGCCGGCAAACATATGGCCCAATCCAATTACAAAATAAAAAAATAAAAATAAAACTAAACTAAAAAACAAAAGATGATGGGCTGGGCCGCATTGGCCCAATTTCAAAACAAAACCAAAAAAAGGGAGAAAACTAAAGACGACGAACCAGGCTATCGACGAACCATCTTCCGATTCTTCCCTAAACTGCTACGACGGAGCCCAACACGCACGGCCCTTCCCCTTGGTCGTGTGCGGTGCTGGGTCTACCGTTGTCCCTCTGTATATAAATAATGTTGAATATACAAGTCTTGGTTGGGTGCGGTGCTGGGTTTGCCGCTGTCCCTTTGTATATAAACAATGTTGAATATACAAGGTAGAAATTATCCTCATGTGATATGATGATGATGTGACATAAAATGATAAATCCAAATAAATATATAGATATAAAGGTCACCACATTGAGATTGTCATTTAATGTCACCGTACATGGAAACCATCCCCTATTTATTTATACGCAATTACCCCAAAATTGATTTGATTTATGTTTATTAACAAGGTTTTTTAATAAAATGATGATTTTATTGTGTTCGATTTTATTATTTTATTCAAATACCGTTCTCCACAGAATGTCGCTATGATGACTGCCTCAGTGGCCACCATAGTGTCATCTTGTCCTCTTCCTTCAACAACGAACAAACATTTTGCACAATACAATCCTTACCAATGAGTACATAAAAACTATGAATTCGTCCTAGTTTCAAGATGTACAAGATGCATTTGTACCTGCTATTGTCGACTATATTACAGACTATCATCCTAAATTGATCTCTCTATTAGACTTCCTAAGCGTGCATGACTTTGTTGATAAAGAATGCGGCTTTCACTCTATTTGCTCTGACGATATGAAGCATACACAGGGTACACGAGTCCATCAGCTTCTTCGCCAGGTCATGTCCATCTACAGGCTCTTTGAATACACGACCAATGGTGCATAATGAAATCCCCACTAAAGAATATTTGACGATTATATACATCGTGGTTTGATTGAAGAAAACACATTTTCCTGGAGGCACAAAAACAATAAAGATGAGGAGAACACAATCAAGATTTGCAAATTGGTAAAAGAGTCGTAAATTTGAAAAAGAAAAGAAACATTTCAATTGCATACTCACAGTTGGGAAAAATTTACTACAAATATGAACACACTGCGGTGCCTCAAAGAACGTGCCTTCTGCTTGCATCACCGCGAGCATCAATCAGAAAATCCCTCCCAAGAATCCTCATTCGAATCTGTGTGAAAAAAGCGGGAAACTTCCTGATATACTTGCTCAGCCTCAAACGGTTTGGAGACATATCCATCCATTCCGCACTTCTGACACTCTTCATTTGTGGCCTGAATCACATCAGCAGTCATGGCCAAAATGGGCACATGCCAGTTTGAAACATTTTCGTAAGCTTCAAGAGGGAGTTCACCACATTGGAGACGGTTATTGATGCTAAGTTCCACGGCCCTAATTCTCTTTGTAGCTTCAAAGCTGTAGAAATTTCTACATTGTAAATAGATAAAACTCCAAGAAACCAAATAATATCTATAAACTCAAGAAAGAAAAGCAGCCTGAGAAGTCAATGCTGATATGATATACCTTCAACAACTTAATTTACACATAATTGGTTTAAATAAGTAGCTTATAAGCTGCTCACACCTTTCGCAGTTCTTTCAGTATTCAACAAGTGAGAAGTTACCGTGGATCTAATAACTAAATACTAAAGTTCAAAAGTGCCAATCTAACTAAAAATTGCATGATGCTTACCCGTCCATTTCTGGCATCTGAATATCCATGAAACAGGCATCGAAATGATGGGGCGGCCTTAGCAGTGAGATTGCCTCTTTCCCCCTTTCTGCATTGACCACATCAGCACCGTACTTCTTGAGGGCCCCAGCAGCCACTCTGAGGTTAACCCTATTATCATCTACAACTAAAATTTTTCTACCACGTAGAAGATTTCGAAGGGATAGAGTGTGAAGCTCTCCATTCCGATAATTTCCTTTGTTCCCAAAACCCATAGCTCGCTGTAGGGATGCAGCAAGCATACTTGCCCTCAGTGGTTTCATAATGATAAATGGAGGGGAAACACTTGAAGCGGAGAAATTGGCTCGAATGGAACTTATAGCATTGGATAGAAGAAACACTTTAGGAGTAACTTTACAATTTATTCCATTCAGTTTGTTGACAATGAGAGTCGACAAGCCTAAATCCTTATGCCAAACTTCCTGTTCAATGAAAACCATGTTTATAATCGTGTTCCCAAATTTTATGTTATTCAAATCATGAATTACTTCAATGTGTATTCCAAGTCGCTGGATGTGATATTTGGAGACCTGTGCCCTTACGGGTGTAGGGTCCACGAGTAAAGCCTTCATTCCCTGAAATTCTGAAGAAATGGATTTGGGCTGATTGTTAATTTGCTGACTCTTCTGGTCATTCACACTGGAGTAGCCAGTGGTGAAAACAGCCGTAAAAGTAAAGGTGGATCCAATCTGCGGCAAGCTTACAAAGCCAATTTCACCTTTCATTAGGTGGACCAAACACTTGCTTATGCTTAGCCCGATACCTGTGCCACCATGTGTTCTCGTGATCGAGGGACCAACTTGCATGAAGGGGGTGAAAACACGTGATTGAGCTTCAAATGGGATCCCTTGACCCGTGTCCTCTACCGAAACTATCAGATTAATTTGGTCAGTTGAGGATGGTGACAATGATGTAGCAGATCCTTCCTGATTGAAAATTCTAAATTTTTTCCAGCTTAGCCGTCTATCGGCTACGGGCAACCCACTCAAAGTGCCACTTGAAGGTGATTCTGTCTCCACTTCCATTGATTCCTCCACCACTTCTTCAACAAGGTGGACAGTCACAAATATGTGTCCTTTCTCGGTGAACTAGCAGTACTTGAAATCATTAGTTGACAGTTATTAAAAAGCATACATAATTGCTTATTAGCTTCGAACATATACTAGAGCATAATATACCACTATAATAATTTGAGTCAATTATCTCACTAATGAATTCATAAACAAGTCGCCTATTCGTGAAGAAAACCCAGCAAAAGCACAAGTAATGCAAAGAAAAACAATAAGAGGTTGTTTACACTATTGATAGAAGTCTTAGAAAATTTTGATAAAAGTCAAGCGTCACATGAAATGTATGGTTAAAATTAATTATTGACTTTGACCTCGACTTTTTAGTAATTTTTAGGCTTTTCCAAACTAGCATTAAATCAGAAAGAGAATCAATCTCTCTTTTTTGCAAATTAATCTAATACAAACTACATCCTCTAGATTTCTAGATACTTTAATATTGCTAACACATTCATGATAGAACATGCATATATCTTTTGAACATAACACATGCACATTCATATAAAAAGCATTTTATCTGTTGTGTCGACTTCACAATGGTTTAGCTACCCAATTCTATCCCAAATAGAAAATTTGGTTTTATATGATCAATAAAATACTGCCCAATTTTTTCAGTGTAAGCCCCTGTTTGACATACATTCTTTAAAAATACATACTTTCAAAACTTATTTTCAACCACACATTCTTCAATAAAATAATATTTTTCATCACATCAGTAACTTTTCCGTACTTTTTAACCACATATTTCTCATCATGTCACTATTTAAAATATATTCTTTCCTTAATAATATCCATCAAACACACCTTAAATAACAAGTTCAAAATATAGCACTCACTTTGATTGAGTTGCCCATCAGATTTGTAATGATCTGACGGAATCTTCCTGGATCGCCAACTAGTATTTCAGGGACTTTATCAGAGATGTATACTGCCAACTGCTTATGCAATTGTATAAAGTGCATTAGGAAAATAAAAGGGCCTTAGATTAAGAGAACCGAACAAAACAAGCAGGCTGAAAAGGCAATAAATCAAAAGTATACCTCTACTCCTTGTGATTTTCCAGAAAATAGTGATAAAACATCATCCAGAATTGCCCTCAAGTCAAAGCAGACTGCCTCCAGCTCAAGTTTACCAGATTCAATCTTTGCTTGGTCCAAAACCTCATTCATGAGTGAAACTAAAGCTTTACCACTGTCCCGTGCAGTTCTGACATAATCTTGTTGTGTTTCATCCAGATCTGTATCCATAAGCATTTGCAGCATCCCTGAAATAAAAAAAAAAAGAAAAAGATGTCATCTCTTTGGGTGTAATTTCATCAACACAAGAAATCAGAGATACCGAAATACATCACCAGCAAAAGAAAGAATTTATGTACTCACCAAGAACACCATTCATTGGGGTTCTGATTTCATGGGAAACCGTAGCAAGAAACTGCATTCATATGAAATTATTTTAGATGCATTTGCACATACTCCTTTAATATAAATTTTAACTGATTAAGTAATTAAAGCAAGCACCTGCGACTTTGCTACATCAGCAGCCTCGGCACGTTTCTTAAGCTCCATCATCTGATGATAATCATCCTCAACTTTGGCTATTCGATTCATTGTGGCGTGGAATATTTGCCCTATGAGCAACGCAATTACAAGGATGCCAATAGATGTTGTTATTGCCACCCATGGCCATGGAGGTTTTTGTTTGAATCTGCATTAACAGAATTTTTTTTAGCAGTTAATTATGAGCAACGGAATCATGATATAGGCTTCTCTAGTTTATAATAATCAACGAGAACGTAGGAATATGGAAATCGAGAACTAGTATTTCTTCTATTTTCTAGATATTCAAAATTGAAGATTTTTTAAGAACAGAATCTTTTATGAATTTCATCCATGCCTCACACTTATCTTGAAGCCTGAAAGCTAATTAATGTTTAAGCAATTTAGTCTCCTTTTCCTGTTATCTAGCTAAATATGGCAAAGCTCAGAAGAAAAAGCTCCAAGAGGAGAGTTCTGATCACCTGCAATGCATTTCATGCCTTCTGAATGGATCTCCAAAGTTAAGAGCACTGATATGCTGCAGCCCATCAGTCGACATATTTGAACCGTACATGCTGATAGGATGGGAGATATTAGTCGTATCATACACATTCACAAGGATAGTTTGTTTGCTGGCAAGCTGTTGAAGTAATTTTTCTACAAGTGATTCAATGTCGAAAACTCCACCGAGGTACCTATTAAGAAGAAGTAGAAACATTAAAATAGTCTTTTAATCAACCTCCATATCTCATTAACCGTGTTTTGACAAATTTAAGTAGACATAATTATGTTTTATCTCTTCTTTTTTTAAACCTTGTTTTATCTCTGTTTACGAAAATAAGAATTTTAGAAGTCACGGATTTGGTTGTTTAAGAAGGGAAATTATTTTACAGCAATGACCGTCTAACATGGAAGAGGGAAAGAAAAATTTGCTCTTCATGACATAATCATATATCTTACTTCTTTTAATTTTGGCTGCTTGAGCATAACGTCTACACACAATCTGAAGTGAGATGACATACCCGGCAGTTGCTTGGATCCTTTCTGTTGGAGATACATTAGGGGGAAGATCTCTTTTATAGACAGCAAAAGTCAATATTACTCCAAGGCGGTTTGTTTTGAGTAACGGGAAAGGAGCTGTGAGGACGCCTTTTCCTAATTCTCTTGCACGTAATACATTCTCACGATCTTCCTGTCAACACAAAGATTTATGGTATAAAGTCTTCCTATGTTTTTTTTCCCCCCCAACCTCTCCTTTCAACTTCGAACATAAAGTAACATATATGATGTAAACAATGAACATCGTTGGATTATAAAGGATGTTAACTATGTTTAAATGCCTACAGCTCGAAAATTGTTGAATAATTAGCAAATTACAGGTCATAAAACTAAGAACTTTACCTTTCCTGAGAGCATATCAACAGAAATTACGTGTGCAACAGTATCTTGGGCAAAAATAACGGGGGCATATTCCTCCTGTACTGGTGATGGCTCAAGGTCCGCAGGATCATACTCATCTTCATGAACTGGGGTTTGTTCAACACCATCCATTTGCTTAATGCTCCAGCCTTGTTCAGTTTCAAATTCCTCTCTTTCAGAATGTCGAACCCTTACAGCATATGCCACCCCACTTGTGAGGGGCCTCTCGAAAGCTGTTCTTTCCGTGTACCTTGCGAAAGTATTCTGCAAGATTTTTAAGTTCAAATTTTTGTGGATAGGATACTAGAGAATAGAGGGAAAAGCACATGAATATGGCTCCTAAAGCTAAAAAATAGTAAGGAGTTTTATACTTATTATTGACAAGAATTTCCTTTGACCAAATTTATCAATTTGCTATAAACAGAAAACCAAGAAGTAAATTAACAGTCTGATTAACAGAAAATAGAAGCTTTGAAATGATTAAAACAAGGATTAAAGCCCTGGGATAAACCAATTCACAAAGAAATGCTCAATTCATGTGAAGAACTATCAGTCTCTGCCCATAAAGAAATGAAACTTAAACATTAAGGTTGTGCTTGATGCATCATATTAGACTTTATAAAAAATCACAATAGATAGTAATAAGTGAATGGTGTTATGGTGGCTTAAGATGGATAGTATTTTTGATATTTTAGTTAAAAAATGGTTATGCTTACAAGTAATCTTATCACATTCAAAACTATCGCCATCCTCCACATTATATTATAAGGTATAGTGCAGATGGCATTTTTTGCCTATAAGATTAAACAATATTATCCACCTTAATCCACAATATTACCATCCAACTATTATTGTCCATTCTAATTTTGTACTAAATTCTTTCAATGGTCTAAGATGGTGCACCAAAATTTAGCTTAAAGATGATGAGTTTTACACTTTTACCTGATCAATGGCAGAAGGATTCTTGCCATGGTGGAAGGTTGAAATCAAAACAGACATAGCCTGTATATGATTCATACTAACATTAAATTGGTCTTGCAACATCCTAGCCCTCTCATCACACATACTCGAAAGCATCTCTTTCCTCTTCTCGTAAGCTTGTGAATTCATGTACCAGAACACCCAAACGGATACGACAATCCAGAACCCAATCCATGCCCATAAAAGCTTCCTCCACCAGTTTTTCCTAACTTTCCTCGACCCGATATACTGGGAATAATGATGGTGGAACTTATAACCGCTCTCCGAAATCAAATTCCACAATTTCATAAATATCCGCCCTCCATCATCAAGCCAACTGGTCTTGGTAGTCATGACTCCACCATTACTCAACAAATTCAAAGAAATCAGAGACAAAAACCAGCAACATGACATCAAAACCTGATACCCCACCTTCAAGCCAAATCCAACTACATGGAATAAACTCATGTAACAAAGAAATTAACATCAAACAATATCATATTGAAAACCCTTTCTGAATTCTAGCTATGTTCATATGAATCTAACAATGTCAAAGTGAAACCCCTTCGGAATTTTTGCTATTTTCATGTGAGTCTACAATCTCCCAACCCTCCAGTCAACAAAATTATATCTTATCCACCAAATTGCTTCAAATCTGTATGATAAAGACCAAGAATTGACGAAATAAGAACTTCTTGAACACCCACATCAAAGGAAGAATTTCCCAAGATTCCAGCTTTTTTCAATTCCCAAACAGCTCCTTTAAAAAATTCGGATAACGACCAAAAATCCAGATGGAGAAATAGATAGAAGCAAACTAAGCAAATATTCTTTTAAGAATAGCAATCAAATCAAAAATACCAGACAAAGAACCTGACAGCACAATCTTGCTTCAAAGGGTCTCCATAAAATCTTGTTAAAAAACTAATCGTGTGAGTTTTTAAGTTTGACCCTCAACTTCAAGCCTGCTTAAGTTAAAAATAAGTAGATTATGGGTGCAATAAGCAGTAATAATGTAGCCAGAATGAGAGAAACTAGAAGAAAAAAAGTAGAATTTTGATTCGTATGGACACTATTGAACAAGAATCTGCAAAAGCAAGATGAGGAGAATATGGTGGTAGAAATGTCTGTTCTAGCACAGCTCCATTATCTATATCCCAATTCATCCACTTCAAAACAATCCAAGAAAATGCAAAATAATATGTATGTATCTCAAAATATTTTAATACAATAATTATTGCAAGGATAAAATATAAACAATAATTTAATTAAGGGTAGAAAAGGTATATTTCCACTGAAAGCACTGCTTTTGCAAAACTTTTTTTGTGTTCACATTCCTATCTATTCATTATTCAACCGAACAACTCATACATACACGCCAACTCGTTAACTCTATAGTTCTTTGTACGTATCTAGTTTGAATTGACGAAATTACCCTTGAATGCAGATAAAATATCCAATGTGACATCAGATTTTACTTCTCATCTTATCCCGTGGGATGAAAAATATATAAAGAGAAAGTGAAGAAGTAAAAGTGGGTTGGAAATCAAGCCCCAATGATGGGTAGAAAAATATTATCTAGGTTTTATTATGTTAAACTGAAGTGTAATTTAGTGTGTACTAATTACAATTATTTCATTTCGAATCTTTACAATATCTTTCTAATTTATTCTTAATTTTTGAAACTCGTATTTCGTTCATTGACCGTTACATCCACGTAAAATAACAAATTTGTCCTCATCTTTAAATAAACAAAAAAGAACGAAACTAAGCCTTTGTTTGCTTCCGTTAAATTAAAATTTATTTTTCTCTATTTTCTTGTCAACCACACATTATTCAACAAAATAATGTTACACGTAAACTAAAAAAAAAAATCGTTCTTTTTTAACCACACATTTTCCGAAAAATTATCATGTCTAATTAAAATGTGAAATAATGGAACCCAAACAGGGACTAAATTAAAAAAATTACATCAAGAGTCACAATTTTTTTCTAAAAAATACAATAAGATAATCTCCTTCACTAAAACTCTCTCACCTTTGATGTGCTTGAAGGCGCATGAGAACCACCATGACTGCATTAGAGATCGGGGGTCCCATCCCCGAAGGTGTATTTTGCGTCGTGAGGAGGATTAATTAGTAACAAGTTAAGATTTTTACGTGATATTGCATAAGTCAACTTCTAAATTCGGCCACATATGTTCTAAATTTATTGTTTTATAAATTTGCTTCACTAGTAAGATTATTTTCTAAACAAGTTGATTCTCCGTCGTTGAATTTGTTTGATGATAGTGTTTTATTATTATAATTTAGTGTTCAAGTATTTATTTTTACCGCTTGTGATCAGTCAATACGTCTTTCGCAAACCTTAAATTAATGGTTAACATTCCCTACATTACTTCCCTGAATAGCTTGATGTCAAAACCCGATAAAGGCGAACCGTATCTCCCTTCAAGTACCCTTTCAAGCCCTTTTATTTTCAAAAGACTAATTGTTGTTGTTCATCTGATTAATCATATCTTTTCCCAGTTCCGATAAGATCCGAATTCTTGCTCAATTCTTTTTATGCTTCAAAAAAGTATATTGTAAAGTGTAAAAAGTGATGTAAATTTACTCATTTCCCTTTCATGTTTTCTCAGATAAAAATGTTAATTGTTATGTGTACGTGCGAATTAATACAATGATCGTAAAAATTATTCTAATGATTGTTTTAGTTTTGAGATTCTAGAAAAATAATTGTGAAATTGAAATAAAAAATTAAGGTTTGTAGATAGAATTGAAAATTTGACCAACTAAATTTTAATTGAAACCGAATCGAATTAGTTAGTTTGATCAGACTTGTGTCGTTTTTGATAACTAGTCAAGTGTTTCGATAAAAATGAAACATATTTAATGAAAACACACGATCACATATTTCAAACAATATGTACAATTTCAGAAGCGATGTTCAGTATAGACTCGTAAATGTATTTAATTCACCTATTAACAAAAAAATAGTTCTCTAAAAAAGTTATAATTCTTTTTTAAAAACAATTTAAACGTGGTTAACAACAATAGTGGCATTATTGTAATTAAAAGACTAAATAAAGTGCATAATTGTAATTTAATGTCATAAAGTGATTGGGCCCACTTCTATGTTTTATCTCTTTGGTTGTGTTCTGGGCCGTGAAAGTGATGGCCCAGCGTCAGCGGACCAGTTACTTTGAGGCGAGCCAATGAGATTGTGTAACGTGTTATGACATAATTGGGTTTTGTTAGAGAGAAATCATGGAGCATCTCAATGCCACGTGGCCCAATGGGGTCGTTTTATAGGTTTAAAAGGAGTTCTAGTGCTTCATGGTCTATCAATTGAACGATGCTCGGCGTACAATGATTTTGATTACATGCGACGTGACATGAAATCATTTGACAGTTTAAAAAACAATTAGGGAGTGTTTGGTGGGAATTAAAATTAGATTTTTAGTAGATTTTGATAGAGGTTTTTGAAATGTGGAGTTGAAAAGCTGTGAGGGACCCATTAAAGATATAGTTAATATTAATTGTTTGACTTTGACTTAAATTAAAATCTGATTTTAATTTGTACCAAACAAATCTTTTCAACCGATTTTTTTTTTTTGCCACAACCAATATTATACAAATAGATTAATTCTTCTCAACTACAATGATTTATGCAAGTCGAGAATAAAATGTTAAAACGGTAAAAGAAAAATAGTTTTCATCTCTAGTAAATAAATGCTTTTACATTTATATAGAGACGACTCGAGCTAACTGGGACCTTAGCTTAGTGTTACATAAATGCTTTTCATCCATGAGTTCAAGTGTAGTGATGCATTTATCTGGGGACAAAAACATTTGTATTTTGAAAGACTTGATTCGTGTCAATACTAGTACTATTGAAAAAGTGCTACAAATAATCTCATTGAACTAAAGTTGTCACTTGAAATTTATTCAGGTGTGTTGTCTTTACTGTAATTTTGACACGTCACTTGTTATGAGTTATTGGATCTAATTAATTCTCAAATATTTCGTGAAGATTCTCCGTCGGATCTCTAGAGCAAACACCAAGATGTACACGTGAAGATTTTTTTATGGTTTTCTAAATAAATCTTTGGTAAGAGAATGAGTTGCTCCTTCGTATTTTATTGAGTGAATATGAACAAAGTCTTTCAGTAATAATATATTTAATTTACGGAGTTCATTTTCTGCATATTCTATATATTTGACTACAGTTTTTGTGACGAAATAACTCGTTAATTAAAACAAAAAAGTACAAAGAAATAGAATTAATAAAGAAAGAAAGAAACTTGAAAGACCAATTCTAATTGACAAAACAAATAACGACTCTATACAAGCTGCCAAGCAGTAATTTTTAAAGAGTAGATGTCCCACAAAGACGTACCAAAAAATTAAATTAAAATAATAAAAGAAACACAATAGCAATTTTCAAAGTTCAAACCTTAATATAGAATTTTAATTCCACAAATCTCCCAATAACACACGAACGTACACACAAAATGTTTTAAAACGAAGTTAAATTAATAATTTATTGAAGTCTTTGATTAATCTGGCTAAAAAATAGATTTTTAACAGATTTTGATAAAATATGTGATTAAAATGTAAATAAAAGTTATGAATTCCATAAAATATATGATTGAAAATAAAATAAAAAAAGTAATTTTTAAAATATTGTAGCTAAATAGGAGCTAGATCTTTTAATTCTGTCTACTTCAACGCGTTCAATATTTTAATTAATTCGGGCCGGTAATATTCTTAAAAAAATGGTGACGAACATGTGACATCAAGATGAAGAAATGTACATAGTCCAAAACTCTATATATATATATATAGAGTTATAGACACACACACAAAAACACAATATTTTATCTTTTTGTATTTTTATGCGCCCGTCTGATTTTCATTATTCCATATTATAAGGAGAGAAATAATAATTTTTTGAAAAATGTGTGATTAAAAAGAAGGAAAAATTTTGGATTTACGTGTAATATTATTTTACTTGAGAATGCATGATTAATAAGAAAATAGAGAAAAATAAATTATAATTTAATGGAGAATAATGAAAACCAAACGGGGCTATATATGTTTGCTGCCAAGATTTCATCATCAAAGATTGCATGTCATTGTTGACCGTAGGATGAAAACCAGAGGAGGGTTAAATGGTAAATGCATAAAACCAATTTTAAATGGAAGAAATAATGAGAATTAAAAAGTTGTTCACCACTTTGATTAAAGTAATGTATGTTAGTTATGAGAACATTTTAATGGGGTGGGGTATTATACATATCATATGTATGTACATCCATTAATGGACATATGCGATAGCTATTCATCCACGTGATTGCTAGTTGAGGCTTGCCGGCTTTGTGTTAATAAATTAGTAGGGTTTGGTGTTGCACA